GTAATACATTCAGGGTTTTTTTCAGTGCAGGCTGCTGCTCCTGGGTCGTAGTGAAGCCCGTCTTGCGAAATGGGTATTGGAGTGCGACACGGCTGGCTCTCGGCACAAGCCATGTAAACCTTCAAAAGTTTAGGCTCAAGGAGGAATTGGTTCATCCTGCTGGGTCTCCCCCCACCCCCCAGGCCATCCTTTCGGGATTTCTAGCGTCTTATTTGTACACTTATTCCGAACCATGAACACTGGAGCCTACCGCTGCTCGCTGATCTGGTGAAAGCATCCATTTTCAGCTCATATAGTTTCACTAATTATACTAATTTTATACTTGTTTTAGTCCATCGTGCATAAATATAGTTGTATTTAGCATGAGGACATCGACTTTTGACGAAAACAAATCGTGCAAATTTAATCATTACAATTTTAAGGTGTGTATCGATTATTTTACTCCTTGTTAACAACCGTTTCTGCTGTTAGCATCTACTGACTGCAACAATTCACATGTTGCAAAAAGCTGGAGTTTTATTTTTTTTGGCCCGAGTACCAAAATGAACTAGTACATTTCTATGAGAATCTGTTGCAAATGTTGTTGCTTGCAATTTTCTTGCGTGACGCTGTGATTCCTACGAGTCATCTACGAACTTACTTCGATAAACAAGTTAAATCATATTTTGGTTAAGGATGCGATTACTTTCGAAAATGTGCAATTCGTTTGTGTAAATATTACATTTTTCTGGCGAGGAAAGATGATCACTGGAACAGTTGCGTTTATTATCACGTAACGTTTGGGCCAGTGAGTACAGGTGACGTTATGAGTAGCTGTGATGGGTCTAGATGCTGAATATTGGCCAGAGCTAAGAGTCACATGACGCGATGTTAGCGTGTTGAAGGTCGCGCAGTGTGTGAAGAAGTAACAAAGTAAGAAAGCTGTTCTCAAGAGGTTGTGGGTTCCTAAAGGCACTTCGTCCACAAGACAAGAATGTCCGACTTCGTTTTGATTTTGCGTCATTGTGAGGAGATAATGTGGCTCTGGTTTTTGGCGGGAATAAAGTCGTCTGCGTGAGCGAGTTTCTCCATTTAACAAGACAAGAGGTACATGACGACCATCACCAGTGTGCTGGACTAGGTAGGTGATCTGCCTTTAAAAGGCAATAAAGCCCGTGGCTGAAAGAGTCCATGTAGACCAAGAGGTAAAGTTGACTAATGGTCACCGGAGAAGTTATTGGAACCAATGAGAAATTGAAGCTCGAGCCGCCAGTGCCAGACGAGGCATTTGCCAGGGTTCTAAAAGACTGTAAAGGAGGACTTGGTGAGCACCTCTGCAGGTTTAATACATTGATCGAGCGCGGTGCCGAAGTCGTGGACGGTGGCAAAGGTGGTGCCGATTTTTAAAAGGTAGTTATGAGGAGTGAACACTTAAGCCAGTAAGACTAGATAGTACGTGCCATTTTTGTAAGAAGGGCAAGCCTACTTTAGCGCTCGTTAGAATGCTTCTGGTTGGGGTGAGGGGAGGGGTCACCCCTCCATCCTGCGCTTCCACGTGGTGTGGTTCCCCCATCCCGGGTTCACATCTCCGCCCCCCCCCCCCCGTGCTCCCATATCCCTCCCTCACCCCGTCCTCCCATATCCCTCCCTCACCCCGTCCTCCCCTCTCCCTCCATGTGCAGACGATGAGTCACAATAACGAGCAAGCTTAGCTGCCAACACCCAAACATCGTGTCAGCAAGGCGGACAGCCAGCCGCCTGCTGTCATACCTCTCACTGTATTTCCCCACTTTTAAACTTCCCTTCACCTATGCCTCTCCTTCCTCTTTACTAAAAAAAAGGCTGAAGTATGTTGACGAGACTTCACACTAGGTGAAGGGACGACGACGTTTCGGTCCGTCCTGGACCATTCTAAAGTTACAATCGACTTGAGAATGATCCAAAACGGACCGAAACGTTGTCGTCCCTTCACCTTCTAGTGTGTGATCTGGTCAACATAATCTCCCATGTCTGTTAACCCCTCCCCCAAGCCACCCCCCCCCCCTTCCCTGTTGGGGGGTCGCATTTAGGAAGGTAGATTTTGATGAAGATTAAGCCACCCAAGCGGTGGCACGGGCATGAATAACCCGTAATAGGAATGTCCTTTGTTGTCCAAGGAAGGAAGGGGGGTTGGGGAGGGATTTCAATAAGCCCAAAAGTCTTATTGTCACTGAAAATCGCCTTGGAACGCAAAGGTGTTAAAGTGAGTCATGCCTGGATTATATCCAGGCATGATATCCAGGGCTTGGAGAGTCGGGGATTTAACGCTGACCAGATACCTGGATTTTATCCAGGCATAAAGTACACCTGCAGGTTGGTCAGTATAAGCTCTTGACATAGCTTTATTAACCATCGTGCAGTTAACAGGCCGTGTTCTCTCTACCAGACACAACAACCTGCAAGTGTGGTCATGTAATGAAAGATTATAGAGCGGGCTATTAATGTGTTCAGAAAAGGCCAGAGTAAATATATATACTCTATATAAATAAAAAATATATGTATGTAAATATATATACTTGAATATAAATAAAATTATTCTCAGGCAACTCCTGAAGGAGGTTTCATTTTATATTGTTTGAATCATTCTAATCACCTTCTATAAAGTCTTCATAAGTGGCTGTACCTGGATAACTGATTTTAAAAATGTGAAGTAAATTCCTATCTGCAAACAAAATACTGTAATATGCCTATTATATATTACTAAATGGAGAGTAGGCATTGTATACAAAATGCCCCTTATTCACGTGACATGACGAGGAGTAAATGGAGAAAGATAATGCAAGCAACAGCAGCCATTACAGTTAACATGACATTAATAAATTACATAAGACAGGACACAAATTATAATACATAATACTCTACCTCTCCTGCGTATCTACATCTCGTTCTAAAGTTTTTTTTATTTTTTTTTTAAGAGGCAGGGGCCTAACAGCTGAGTGGACAGCACTTTGGATTCGTATTCTCATGACCATTAGTGTTTTTTTTTTAAGATGGAAGTGTAACAGCGAAGGACACATGATTGACTAATGAACATTAAGCCACCCAAAAGGTGGCAAGGGCATGAATAGCCCGTAAGTGGTACAACACAACATGCTAGACTAGCAGTAGATGAATGCTTACGACCACATGTTGACTACAGTTAAAATCTGTACTATAGTATACACAAATACTGGCTTAGGTGACAATTGTGTCCTTATTATTTGGCAATATATTTTTTGTGTATTTTTTTTATGGCAGAGTTGTCATAGTATGTGCAATATGGCAACCATGCGGAATGTTAGGTTATGGTTTTTTTCTTTTGTTTTGGTTGGGTTTGGTTTCCAGTACTTGATTTGACATTATTACTATGTAGGCCTATAATTTCTGAAATAATTGACAACTTTATGGGGGAAGTACATTTAGTAGTAAAAAAATTGTTTAACGTCTTGCTTATTAACTAAGAATTGGCTTTACTCGAGTCTTCATGTTTGGTAGTTATCATTTAATTTATTCATTCATTTAATATGCTTATATTGTCTTCTACATAAAAATGATTAAATGCTAATTTGAAAGAATCGGGATTTGTAATTAGCATTAGATCGACGGTTCTAATGTGATGAGATGAGCAATCATAAATTTTTCTGAAATTTTAATGTTCAGCATTATTCATTTACTTCAAATATTATGGCAGTAGTTATTATCGTGAGTGTCTTTTCGTTAAACGTACATTTGAGCTTCGTCTTACTAGCTATATATGCTCTTTGAGAACTCCCCAACGGATATTTCTGGATCCGGATTGTGTGGTCGCGAACACTTGTTTACGTGAAGCTAGTAGTGTCCCGGATGTGTCTGGCGTGAAGGAGTGTCTTCAGGAAGATTGGCGTTCATGAGCGTTTTGTTGATTGGCGACGTAAACCGCCAAGAACGTGATGACGAAAAAAACAAAGTTTGTTCAGATAACTTGCACAGTTGTTGATGAATCCGGCTCCTGGGGGGCCAGTCTTCTATGTATCGGTACCAGTTTAAACGTGACTATTTCTTGGTTATGGTAGTGGTGGAGGCGTCTGTATGCAAAGCTTCTCTTAGCTACGGCCCCCCAACGCCTGTGCTCTTAAATACTTTGTCATTATATTATTGACAAATTGCCTTTTTATGAACGTCATGTCTAAATCTAATTGACCCTTCACTTGACTACTGACGAATTTGGCCTGGTTAATGTGTGTTGAATATGAAGAAAAGAATATCACGTCTTTATTCGCTTCAGTATTTAACAATTATGTAAACCATAATTGAGATTTAGTTTGAGTGCAAGAAGATTTAGAAAATAGATTTTGGTCGTAATTTGTGATTATGGAGCACTTTTATTCGACGTGGGAAAATATTCAACGTTGGGGGAAAAAAAAAAAAGTCGAAATCAGATTGTATGTCTTCGAAACTTCCCAGCGTGGGTGCTCAGGCGTCGATGCCAGAGTCACGTGTACAGGTCGAGACGCGGTGCCGGCCGGCTTGGCAGATGAGCCAGGGCCTCGTGGGTATTCTTGGCACTGACCCACTCTCTCTCTTGCCATCTCTTTCTCTCTCTCCATCTCAACCACAGACCCTTTATCCTCCCCAAATTCCTGGCGTTCTTTCTGCCAAGACATCTCAAAATCGCTTGTTAATATATCGAAGTCCACCACGAGTTTGAGTCCGCGCGGGAACTGCCAGGTTGTGGCTTAATGTGACGTCTGAACTGCAGCTCGCCACCGAGGATGACGATATAAGGTGATGCGTGGGGCGGGCAGACACACACACACTTAAAGATGTCACACGACCAAAGACCACACTCACTCCAAACATCCCCCACCTACTTATGTTTGGCTAGGTGGAGGCCAGCAGGAGCCTTGAGAGCCTCCTGGCTAGGCTACGAGGAAAATTTAAGTGAAGAATGTGACATAAAAAATAGTTGTCACCTTAACTGTAAATTGTATAGTTAAAATAAATGTTCTCTCTTGTTGTTACAGAAGAGCCGGCCTGAGCCAGGATGGCGCAGCAACTGGAACAACTGCTCACCTGTTGCATTTGCTTGGACCGGTTCCGCAACCCTAAACTGCTACCATGCCAGCACTCCGTGTGTATGGAGCCCTGTATGGAGGGCCTCGTCGACTATGTCCGTCGACAGGTTAGTGTAACTAAGCTCTTTGTTTTCCACGAGGACGCTACAGTGTGGATAATCTGTTTGTGTTTACCTCGTACAAGCTGGCAGCTTCCTGTTCCTCCTCCCGTCAAGGCCACTAAGAGGTGATGGCCCTCAGGCAAATTCAGGTAATAATGCTAAATTAATCTCCTTAATAATGACGTAAATGTACCCCGTTTCTCGATTTGTGTATTATACTGAGAGTATACTTTAGTCCTGGTCTGTCTTCAGGAGTAGAGTATACTCTTGCTGGGGACCTTTTGTGCCTTCTGTAATGCTTTTTTGCGCTACCGCTCACAGGATGAGTATGGGGTGCACAATCAAATCTTGCTGGTTGGCCAGTCAGCTGCTGTGACCTTTAATACAAATTCCTGCGGGTTATAAACCGTAAAATCTCATCACAAACAAGCCTCGTGTAACAGTACGGTTAGATGAGTAACAGAGTAATGAGTAACGGAAGGTCACGTGCCCACAGGTCAAGTGCCCGGAGTGCCGCGCCGAGCACCGCATCCCATACAACGGGGTCCAGGGCTTCCCTTCCAACGTGACCCTACAGAGGTTCCTGGAGGCTCATATAGAGATCACCGGAGAGACGCCCGACCCCCACACAGGTCAGTCCAGCTTCCTCAGCCCCCCCTCCCTCCCTCTCGGCTTCCTCAGCCCCCCCTCCCTCCCTCTCGGCTTCCTCAGGTCCCCCTCCCTCGGCTTCCTCAGGTCCCCCTCCCTCGGCTTCCTCAGCACCCCCTCCCTCGGCTTCCTCAGCCCCCCCTCCCTCGGCTTCCTCAGCCCCCTTCCCTCGGCTTCCTCAGCCCCCCCTCCCTCGGCTTCCTCTGCGCCCCTTCCCTTCGCCTTCCTCAGCCCCCCCCTCCCTCGACTTCCTCAGCCCCCCCTCCCTCGGCTTCCTCAGCGCCCCTTCCTTTCGGCTTCCTCAGCGCCCCTTCCCTTCGGCTTCCTCAGCCCCCCCCTCCCTCGGCTTCCTCAGCCCCCCCCCTCCCTCGGCTTCCTCAGCCCCCCCTCCCTCGGCTTCCTCAGCCCCCCCCCTCCCTCGGCTTCCTCAGCGCCCCTTCCCTTCGGCTTCCTCAGCCCCCCCTCCCTCGGCTTCCTCAGCCCCCCCCCCCCTCCCTCGGCTTCCTCAGCGCCCCTTCCCTTCGGCTTCCTCATCCCCCCCCCCCTCCCTTCGGCTTCCTCAGCCCCCCCTCGGCTTCCTCCCCCCCCCCCCCCCCCTCGGCTTTTTCACGTCTCGCTCTTCATTACCTACAATTGTATTCATAATATTCACTTTTGTGGGGCTTTCTTCCGTATTTTATCTACAGTATATGGCAAGTGTTGTTAATATCTCTGCTTGATGTAGCATTTGTACATTTTTCAAGGTGGTGCGTATTGCAAGGTCATTGCCATTATCAGAAATAAATCTACTATGTAAAAATTTCACAAGTACCTCAGTCTTGACTCAGATTGGGGTTAATGCCCCGTCATACTTCAAATGTCAGCTTATCTGTAAAATTAAATGTTTATATTTTAATGATGTATTTACAAAACGTAGTGTAAAATGTTTAAAATTGTCATACTGCGAGGTAGTATGTTTCGGAGGCGTTTGGGCAGTGTTCCTAAACATCGTCCCTACGCTGTATGCAGCAGTAATTAGAAACTATAGATGTTCAGCTGGTGACAGATTACCTAGAACCATTTCAGTACTGTACCTGTCCTGGGGCCTCAATACTATGTCGCAGTAGAATTACGTCCTCTGATCACAATCAAGGGTCCCGAGTTAGATCCTTGAGCGGGACAGAAACAGTTGGGCACTTTTTTTTCCCCCCCTTGCTTGCTTGATGCCTCTGTTCACCTAGCCTCAAGTATGTATACCTGGGAGTTAGGCAACAGTCGTGGTTTGCATCCTGGAGAAAATCAGTAGTTCGGCTAGAAGTAAAGTCCAAAACTTTTCAAGTCCAGGCTTCCTGTCCCCGACAATGAGAATTGGAAAAACTGGGTTGGGTTTTTAAGCACTCACTGGGACACCCAGCCTCACGGGAGACATCTCCCGTCACTCAGGGTGAACAGTTGCACCTCCACAGATCTCCAGTATCAGCTCTTGATACTGGTAATGGATCCAAAGGGCCACCACTTACGGGCTATTCATGCCCGTGCCACCTCTTGGGTGGCTTAATCTTCATCAATCAATCACCCAGCCTTTCCCTTCTCTTACAGGACAGTTCATGGAAAGATGCAACGTGTGCAATGAGAAGAATTACTTGAATGTGTGCGCCCACTGCGAGAAGAAGATCTGTGAGGACTGCAAGGCGGCGCACACAGACATCCTCAAGAGAGAGATCGGTCGTATCAACAACCAGGTGAGGTGTCTGTTGTTGACCAGACCACACACTAGAAGGTGAAGGGACGACGACGAATCGCCTTTACGGGCTATTCATGCCCGTGCCACCTCTTGGGGAGGCTTAATCTTTATCAATCAATCACGAATCGACTTGAGAATGGTCCAGGACGGACCGAAACGTCGTCGTCCCTTCACCTTCTAGTGTGTGGTCTGATGAACATACTTTAGCCACGTTATTGTGACTCCTCGCCTGCAAGTGAGGCGTCTAGTTGTCTGCCAGGTATAACATCCAGGTCATCGTACGAACGCAGTTACAGCCCCGCTCCTGTGCCAGGTAAGTCATAAGAACAAATGTAACTGCAGAAGGCCTATTGGCCCATAAGAGGCAGCTCTCGAAGTCCGCTTACGGGCTCACCATAGCAAGTGCTACTTGCAACTCTTTGTTCCCAGTAGCTGAATCTAAAACAATAACATACGGACATATCGCCTCATACATGAAGAAAGTACCGCTGGCTGTAACACAATACTGGCATTGGGGAGGCCGTGATACCCGTGGCATTGATAGGACTTGAAAGCTCAAAGGTCAATTTATCTTTACAATTGTTAGCCTTTAAATCAAAATAAATGTTCAAACTACTTAATACTTCTTAATATTTGTATTTTGTTTACTGTAAATATTTATTTGAAATTACAAATTAATGTTTTGCTTAGAGGATGATGATTAACAGAGGATAACAAAACGGTTTGGAGTTTAAGTTCCAGAAATAATTACAATGAATCCAAAGAAATGTTAAACGCATCACTTTAAAAAAAATTCCCATGATAATTACTGAAGTATAATTTTCATGGAAATGTTGTGTGTGAAATGTTCTGTTCTGTACATGGTTTGTTGCATTTAACTTTGTTATTATAAATATATTTTACTCTGCAGTACAAGATAGCAAATATTTATTTAAAACACACACAATTCAAATGTACTTTAAAAGGACCGAGGCTCTTAGCTTGGAATCAGTGAATTATGAACATTATCAGTGGGTTCTCGCTCAAACGCACTTCACTCGATAGAATTCCTTGATGGTTCTGAACAGTTTCTTTGGTGTAAATTGTTCAGTGGGTTAAACTAATGTTCGTTCCAGTGGGGAATTTCCACCTAAGCATGATCTAATTGTAAACTGCTGTACAGTATATACAAATAATTAAACACTTACATATAACGTATCATTAAAAAAATATATCAAATATTTTTCAAAGTACGCATGGAACAGCCAAAAGTGAATATTATTGTACCATGTGTTACTGTGACTCGTGCATGTCCAAACGAATATTGGTAAAAAGTTCAAATATTGACAATGTATACAAAATTAAACAAATGGGAAAAATACATTGTTATACAAGTATTATTTCAAACAATAACTCAAAACCTGATCACAAAGAAATTCACATAGTTTTGATATGAAACTCTTCTCTAATAAACTGTCAATCACACGCGATGGTCAAAATAAAGATTGTGAAAGTGATTCGTGTGTGTGTGTGTGTGTGTGTGTAATATATTATATAATATATTATTTAAAATGTTGAAGTCTGGTTGGTTATGATGGATTTGTTCTTGTCTAAACGTGTCTGAGGGTTATTATAAAGATATTTCACTGCATTATTCTCCTCTTAAGGTAACAAACCTGTACATACATTTCAAAATAAATCACATTATTAACGTGGTGTATCAACGAGAAAATCAGTAGGAGCAGTGATGAGGATTCCAACCTATGCTCTGGGTGCTCCCAAGCACACACCGTAGGCTTTTACATATGCATTAGAGTGAGAGAGATTAACAGATGATATTGGTTTGTGCAGGTCAAGCGTGCGGCCCACCGTCTCAACGACCAGCTGTCCACTGTGGAGCGAAACATCACCTCGCTCAAGCAGAACACTCACAGCGTCTCCGATGAAATTGAAATAATCTCCAAACGTCTGCAGAAATCTGTTAGAGATCGCTGTGATTTTCTTAAGGCAGAGGTACGTTCTTCGCCACCACACCGTTCTTTGCTACAGTGTCATGTTCAGTACGATGATTGAGAGCAGCGTTTGTGCCATAATTACGAATTTATGTTGCATGGTTGTAATTTGGATATCGGAGGCCCTGCTTGTAGAGGTGCTGAAGTTTGTGTGAATTAAATATTGAGGGGAAACTCTGGCAAATTTATTAAATTATTCCTTTAGGCATGAAACTTGACCAGATTTTCCTCGTGCAGGTGGAGAACTACTATAACAATGAGCTCCGGAACCTGACGACTCTTAAAGAGTCTCTCGACCAAGAGGTCTCCAATATTGGGGCCAACATCGAACTGGCGGAAAAACACATGGACGACAACACTCCATGGGACGACGCCGAGCTCATGGACACCAAGGACATCTTCCTTAAGACCATGGATTTCATTCGAAGTTTTGACTACGAATCGGGCGATTATAGCAGAAGAGCCAGATTTAATCCTCCTGACGATATCAATAAGGTTAGTGAACGCCAGGGATGGAATGAATGCACGGTGTCGATAATATGCAAGGAACTGGAATTTGTGTGTGGTTTCCGAAGGCAATATGTTGCAAATATTTTGTTGCATTCTTTTAGCAATGTCTTGAGGGAAATTGAATTGAAATTTAATTAAGTTTATTGAGGTAAAATACACACAAAGGGATGAGGTAGCTCAAGCTATTCTCACCCCTTTCAGTACATCGTGTTAATACATACATAGACACACATCACAAACAATAAATGTTTTACCGAACATTCTGAGAGATAAACATATACATTTCCTCCTTTACACAAGTAGTATGGTATCAGACGTACACACACATACTTCCATGACTTCTTGAGGGAGGGAAATGCCTCTTTATATTTCTTTTTAATTTATAGCTTTTATGAATATTATTAAAAATAGGCTTCCAGTTGACTAATAATAATGTACAATGCGTCAAACCTTCGACATATGTACACAGCTAACAGGCAACTTACCGGATTGAAGTGTAACTGGGAAAGGGAGAGGGTGTCAAACTAGCCAGTGTAGGGTCGGTAGGAGGAAGTTACGAGTATAATACTGGAAGTTAATGCAGATGAACCAGACCTTAGGAGCCAAGACATAACCTGCTAAATTAAAAAGGATTTCATGTTGCTATTGTTATAAATAACTGTGTATGAAATCAGTGGTGCACAGCATCCCTGTACTGCATATACCACCCATCACAACAACCCCCCCCCACACACCCTTTTCCCTCCTGCCCAGCTGGTGACACTGTGCCCATAAAGAACTTGGGCCAGATTCACGAACGCACTTACGCAAGCACTTAGGAACGTGTACATCTTTCCTCAATCTTTGACGGCTTTGGTTACATTTATTAAACAATTTACAAACATGAAAACTTCCCATTTAACTGTTGTTATTGTTATAAACAGCTTCCTGGTGCTTCGGAGCTAATTAACTGTTTAATAATTGTAAACAAAGCCGCCAAAGATTGAGAAAAGATGTAAACGTTCGTAAGTGTTTGCGTAAGTGCTTTCGTGAATCTGGCCCCTTGACCGGATGTTGCAAGGCGCCAAGCCCGACCTTGCACGCACACCCGCCCAGCAAAAAGTAGCCCCTAGGCATCGTGGTTTCTTCTGCCATACAGTATATTCATTGTCAGCATTTTTGCCCAAACTAATGTTGGTTTTAGTATAAATGAACAAATCCACAAGGGCCGTGACGAGGGTTCGAACCTACGTCCGAGAGGATCCTAGACGCTGCCTTAATCGACTGAGCTACGACATGGTCAGTCGATTAAGGCAGCGTCTGGGATCCTCTCAGACGTAAGGTTCGAACCCTCGTCACGGCCCTTGTGGATTTGTTCATTTGATGCATCACGCTATTGTGATTTCTGTGTAATTCGTTTTAGTATAGTTTCAAATATGTAACTTAATGCTGATAATTCGAGAATCTCTTTCAAATTTAAACTTGCTCGTAAAACCAGCTTTGTTTTGTTCTGCCCAATTTCACTGTTTCCAACAGTGAAATTGGGCAGAACTAGTGATCTGGCAATTAGTCATTTGTAGCGACGTTATATAATTTTGGGGCTTTTGTCGAACTAATTCATATTATACACAATACTGCGTGGTGTATGGTGTATGAATCTACGGAGTAATCAATAGTTTAAAAATCGGCATTGTATGTGGCTTACAGTAGTGTTGTACAATGTACACAGTGAAGAAGGCTAAATAAAAGTAGTTACACGACTATTTTGTTATCTAATTTTATGACCATCTTTAAGGAGCGCATGTGGCTCCTAAAATGTGCATTTTTGTGATGATAAAAGTAATCATTGTTGTCAAAAATGTTTTTAAGCATGTCTTAAAAAAATGCACACAGAACATACACAGAAATTTCCTCTTAGTGCCAGGGTTTTACCTATTGGCCTCACCAGCTCTAGAGTATTTATTAAAAACTCGAAGACCTCCTCCCACCCCCCCTTACACCCTTGTCCAACAGAGTACTTCGATCACTTCGCGCGCGCACACATTAACCTGTTCCCGCACATACGAGTCGTAGACACTGTCATGAGCCCCATGTTCTGAGCCCACGTTGTGTACCGCAGCTGGCGACGAGTCTGAGCACGCTCGGGGAGCTGACCTTCAACTCGCCCAACAAACTGAGTGACGGCTACAACTCCGGCCCCTCCATGGGCTCCGGGCTGATGAAGAGCAAGAGCGACCACCGGCTGGCGGCTCAGTTTAGGGACCAGGAAGACGGCTACGGTCACACCTCAGGCAGGACCTCGCCACTCATGCGCAGACGCTTTGGGGACAGGAATATTGAGAGGTATAGTCAGTCTCGCGTTCTCACAAGACCCTTGACTAATTTATCCATTCACCCTCACCTACATCCCCAAAGGTGATCTCATTTCATGGTCATAAAAAGAGTAATCAAAGTGGCCAATTACGGGCTATTCATGCCCGTGCCACCTCTTGGGTGGCTTAATCTACATCAGTCAAAGTGGCCAAGTATCCAACTTTTCACCTTGGCAACCCACAACGTTGAGGAATGTGGAGTGATTTAACCTTTGGTGGGTGGTACCGCGAGAATGTGAGACGGACTATAGCCAAATAGATAGACATGTACATATTATTAGTTTTTTAATTTGTTATTCTCTGATGTTTATAAAGTAGAATATCTTTAAAAAAAAAGTCATAATTCTAGCACTTAATGCTGTTCAGTGTCTGTCTGTAGTCTGTGAATACGTGTAGTTTCCGCTCCCCGGCCATACCTTAAGGACCTTCAACTTGGACTTGATCTAACAGTGAGCTGGACATTACCTGTCTTATTAACACGTTCATCCGCCCACTAACTGAGGATAACACAGTAATGTTACAGGTCTTCGTGCCTCCCCCCCCCCCTCCCAGCACTACGTGCCTCCCCCCCCCCCTCCCAGCACTACGTGCCTCCCCTCTCCCCCAGCCTTACGTGTCTTTCCCCCCCCCACGCAGCTTTACGTGCCTTCCCCCCCCCCCGCAGCCCTACGTGCCTCCCCCCTCCCTACGTGCCTCCCCCCTCCCTACGTGCCTCCCCCCTACCCCCGAGCCCTACGTGCCTCCACACAATACTCCCCCAGCCCTCCGTGCCCCCCCCCAGCCCTCCGTGCCCCCCCAGCCCTCCGTGCCCCCCCCCCCAGCCCTCCGTGCCGCCCCCAGCCCTCCGTGCCCCCCAGGGCTCGCCACCACCTGCAGCCCCGATATACCGCACAACCACTAAATATGTAGTATTCCATTAAAACCAAGTCTAAATACGTAGTTTTAGATAAATTAATTTATATCGTATGCTAATTATTAATGCTATTATAATTTGATCCTCTTACTATGACCAAAATAATCTTGCTTTTTATTCATTGTTAACACAGACGTCAGCTCACAAGTTGCTACACATGACGTGTTTGCTTATTAATTCTGTGAGACGTCAAGATAGTGTGGTTTAACAGCATAACTTCGTGATAGCATAACCATCGCTTTCATGTTGTTGGCGCTTCATCATTCCAATGCTTCCTTCCCACCTGTTGGAGCGTTTCACTTTCTTTCCCTCTAGTCGTGGCCTCCCATCTCTGCCCAGCTCACCTGTTGTCCTCACAGGCACGACGAGGATACCGCGGCTGACTCTGGGCGGCGGCGGTTCCGGTCAAGATTCATGCGCAAAGAAGAAGATGAGGAACGTTCGGTTCGCTTCGCCGAAGAGGACGGAGCAAAACGTCAACGGGTGCTCGACACAGAAGATGTCTCGCGCGGCCCGCTGTCCGGGATCGTCAGACTCTACGACTCGCCCCGCGTCATGAAACGATTCCAGGAGCGTGATCAGCTTAAGAATAAAAAGAAGGAAGAGCCACCCAAGCCTGTACAACCCACGTTACCCAAGCCTCCCGTCACCCCCGTTCAGCGTAAGACATCACGACAAACTAGCAATGATGATGAGATAGATAAAATTAAGAAACAAAATAAAGCTACAGAAACAACATCTGGAGCAACTGCCACAACCCCCACTGTGAGCACCTCCACTCCTTCCACGCCAACCACTCCAAAGCCGGCAGGTGAACGAATCTCTTCCATTCGAGATGATGAGCGGCAGAGCCGCAGTGACCGCACCTCCACCTCGCCCCGATCCTCTACAAATCATTCTCCTGCGTCTTCCGTCACTCGTGAAGACGACTCCAGTCGTCGGCGCGAGTACAGTGGCTCCAAAACAGATGCCAATACTACAGGAGCCAATGGTACAACAAGCCGCCCTACACCCACCCGCAAAACAAGTGTTGATACTGGAGTGACCAGTGTAGCACAGCGCTCATATCCTTTCAGCCGTTCTTCATCCAATTCATCTGTAGGGGATAAGGATAAGAACACAAGTGGTACTCGCAGCCCTCGGCCCATCGACACCGTAGGCATCGAGCGCCGCTTGTCTCGTTCCAACAGCACTGAAAGTAACAAATCTGGTGATGGATCATCATCTCCAAAGAAGGCAACTGGTGCAGCCTTCTCTACCGAGGAACTCAAGAACCGTTTCGTGAAGGCAGAGCCAAAGCCATCCACATCTAAAGTAGAAAGTTCAAGATCGTCTGCTCCAAATAGTTCTCGCTTTCAGTCACGTTTTTTAGGCCGAGCCGGTACTCCTTCAGCAGAGGCCTCGAAGGAATCAGGGAATGAAGATGAAGATGAAGAAACCAGTGATGATTCCGAGTCCGAAGAGAGTGAAGAGTCGTCTGAAGAGGAAGAGGAGGAGGAGGAGAAGGAAGAGCCTACGTCAGAAGTCTCTCGTCCGGACATTGGGCCCTTACTTGGGAGGAGTGCCCAGGCTCGCGATGTGACCGCTAATACTAGTTCTAGGAGCACTTGGGGTGAAAGAAGTTCGTACCCACCTGCAAGTTCCAGTGGAAATGATTCGGGTTATGCAAGTAGATATGGCAGTAGCGGTGAAAATGGCAATGGCAACAGTACCACTACCACCACCCCCAGCAGGTATGGAACCTCTGCCTCCAACACCAGCACCACTGACTCCGGAGCAACCACTCACAGACGTCCATCGTATCTGGACACTGCAAAACCTCCAGTCAAGGAAAAAGATGATGATTTTGAGTCCAAATATCCCTATTCGAGTAAGTACCTGAACCGTTCTCGGGCCGCTGTTCCTGAGGAGGAAACCAAACCCACTTTCCAAAGCCGATTTCTTAATCGATCAAAAAGTTCGGCTGTTCTAGGCCCTGATGAAAATGATGAATCAACTCCCGCTACCACACACGGCACTGGCCGTGCTCGCTTTGAAGAGCTTAAGGAGAGAAGACAGAGGCTGGCACGAAGCAAAAGCTCTGCGGGACTGGAAGATGAGGAAGGAACTACAGCAGACACCAACTCTGCCGCTAATTATCGACCTCGTTACAACCGCTTGGAACCTGAAACTTCTACCCCAACACGCAGCACAACTACAGGAGTAGCATCATCAGTAGGTAGTAGTAGTGCTAGTGGTACGGGAGGTGAAGAAGGGGGGTCATCGTCCACCCAGCTCTCTAATTGGGCCCGTTATCTCAAGAACAAATATGGAAACAGAAGCGGCGCAGCAGGAACAGATAGCACGGGTAGAAGCACTAGCACAGGTCTCAGCAGCAGCACTAGCAGTAGTGCTGGTAGCGGCATGGGTAGCAGTGCTAGTGGTGCTAGCAGTCTATTAAGTAGTTCCCGTCCAGGTACAGGTAGCACAGTAGGAGGCAGAGCCATATCTCGCTCTCGGTCCTCACATCTTCTTGGTCTTGCCAAAGAGGGAGAATCATCTGAAGACGATTCAAAAAACGTGCACGCTACCCCTACTTTCCCACAAGCAGGTACACTGGTTCCTACTCCGTTCGGAAGTTTACATAGGAGCCAATACCTGCAAAAACAACGCCTCTTAATTAAGATCGGGAGTAGGGGTAGTGAAACTGGAAACTTTACATGGCCAAGAGGCATAGCTGTTGGACCCGACAACAGTATTGTGGTTGCAGACTCGAGCAACCACCGCGTGCAAGTATTTGACCAACAAGGTAAGTTTATAAAAGAATTCGGTTCTTACGGGAGTGCAGAAGGCGAATTTGATTGTTTGGCGGGCGTGGCTGTCAACAGAATCGGCCAGTACATCATTGCCGACCGCTACAACCATAGGATTCAAGTATTTGATCCTTCTGGCATGTTTCTCCGGTCCTTTGGAAGTCAAGGTGGAGGAGATGGGCGGTTCTCGTATCCATGGGGAGTGACCACTGATGCCCTTGGTTTCATCTACGTCTGTGACAAGGAGAACCACCGAGTTCAGGTCTTCCAGTCCGACGGATCCTTTGTAGGCAAGTTCGGGTCGATGGGCAACAAGCCAGGACAACTGGAACACCCGCATTACATCGCAGTTTCCTCCACCAACAGAGTCATCGTCTCTGATTCTAACAACCACCGCATACAGATATTTGACATTAATGGCAAAGTTACTACAACATTTGGGTCCGAGGGAAGCGACGAGGGACAGTTCAAGTTCCCAAGGTGAGTTCCCAACTCTTTGCGAAGTTATACGTAGCTGTGTATATATTTATAGTTCTGTGTAATAAATCAATTTTTCCATGTTCATAATAGTGAGCTACAGTATGGTGCCAAGTTCACAAAAGGTGCGACATTTAAGCATTGTTCTTCACGTGTGCTCCTTGTCGCCGCCAGGGGTGTGGCTGTGGACGACCAAGGTTACATCTTCGTGGCTGACAGCGGTAACAACCGCATTCAAATCTTCCACCCTGATGGCTCCTTCTTGAGGGCCTTCGGTTGCTGGGGATCTGGAGAGGGAGAATTCAAAGGCCTTGAAGGTGTGGCGGTGATGTCCAACGGCAACATCCTTGTCTGCGACCGTGAAAACCACCGTGTCCAGGTCTTCTGAGAAGGTACTGTATAATATAATAATAATGTTTATCCTGGTAAAGGTACATGCATACAAAATGAGTTACAAATAGGATGCTGGATTTCTAGATAGAGCTAGTATATGCTATGCCTAAAGCCACTAATACACACAGTTTTGTGCAAAACGCTGTTTGTGGAAATTGGTTACAAGCAAGAAACAAGCTAACCATTCGTTTTTTATATATTTTGTTATTATTTAGTATTTGATTCGCACTGATTCAGCCGGTCAAGGTATTGTAATTATGCAGGCATGTCAAACATGTGGCCTTTTGCAAGCACACCTGCGGCCCAACAAAATCAATAAAAATTCTGAGAACAAGGCCGACTGGTCATTTCTGATCAAAGTGGGAATTGCACACTTTTCAGTTTGACATAGCAAAAATTTTCATTAAAAAGGTGTCAAGCCTCAGGTCAAAACACTAAAAATTTTGTAAATAAATGTTTATTTTGTTGTAATTTTTGTGCAATGCATTTGTTGCTATTGCATAGAAGTATGTTGCCGTTTAAATTTTTTTTTTCTTTTGTTAAATTAAACTACTACATTACTTTGCATTCATGAATGTGGTTAGCTGCTAAACCACTTGTATGCACATTGTATGTTTCTAAGTTTTAAGTAATACAAATATTCTGCAATAATGGTTATTAAATGACTTCAATCAGTTGTGGTGTGTGGCCCTCATGACAACACAAATGTGGCCCGTAAGGCCCTCGTGGGAGAGCCATATGTTTGGCATGCCTGGGTAATACGAATCAAATAAACATATCTTTTAAATTAGAATTGCAAATATATTACATGTTAAAAATTATATAACGCAATTTGAACTACGGACTTGCATATATAGTTAGAGATGTATCACGTTAAGAGAGGGTGCTATAGTAACCATGATATGAACAGGAAGATACGAGGGTCGTGGCAGATCCACACGGCTCTAGTTCACCACTGAGACAGTACAGCCAGATACTAAAGTGTGTTGGCGAAGCTACTAGGGGTAGACATAGGCGTTTAGATTAGTTCATTTATTATGCACACCATACCTGTCTTGTAGGGGGGGCAGGGTAGTGGAAACTGAGGCACATAACGGGCTCAGAGAACCCCCACAGTGTATTTCGCTAAGCAAGTTAGTTTTGATGAGCTAGTTACAACATTCAGTGCACATCGTCACATAGACGTGAACCCAAAACACCACAGTACTGTTGTCTGTACTTTGTTTCGTGATAGACTTGAGGCCTATCAACCACTGGAATGTTAAGGCCAACATATAGAAACTGCACTTTTGCCCTAAACATAGTTTACTCAGAGGTAACTTTGATGTATTTACTAAGATTTACTAAGTAAGATACACCTCTGTATATATATGCAGTTTCCCCAGCTTGTATAAAAAATTACATTATATTATGTAATTACATATGTATAATATAAATTACATTAGTGTATTTATCATTTAGTACTGTTAAAATAATTGTATAAAACATAAAAGGCTTAATGGTACATTTACAGATTGTATTTTTTTTTTCTAAAAAAAAAATCCTTTAAGCACAATTTCCCACAGCTTACAAATTACATCTGTACAAATTATAAATATTTGTACCGATATGTGAAATAAATGTGGATGCTTAAGTTCTGATACATTAACTGTGGACAATATGTACACTGAGAGTTGTTCACCTTAGTCCGGTACTATGTACATATGTGCTGGTTGGTCAATAAGTTGTTATGGTGACCTCAATAAGTTATTATGGTGACCTCAATAAGTTATTATGGTGACCTCAATAAGTTATTATGGTGACCTCAATAAGTTATTATGGTGACCTCAATAAGTTATTATGGTGACCTTAAGCCTCCAGAGGTTGATAGGTCTCAATGCTAACATTAAACTAAGAGTAGAAGATTACCCTGATTGATAAAGATTAAGCCACCCTAAAGGTGACACAGGCATGAATAGCCCATAAATGGTTTCCTCAGATTGGTGGTTTGGTTAGATGACCCTGCATCGTTTTCCTGTCCATGGTCCTCGTGTGGTATAAATGAAGCTAGGAAATTTATTAACGTTGCCAACCAAAGATGAAATGTCATTACTATTTTAAGTTTTATTTTTAGCATTTACATCAAATCATTCTAAAGCCCAACATAAACAGTACCTACATTCAAATTATAATTCATCCAGTATGTAGTAAATATCTCCTGCTTTAATATAAATCAAATCATTTGACTTCACAGTGTACAAGGGCCTGTGTTAGAAAAGTTGGCCAGGACACCATGCCAAGCTGCATGACTGTGTAGTGAGCAGCTGGGCTATATATGGACCCACTGGGGCTCTTCCCATAACCCAACCCCCAATCCTGGCCATTATTACTACTGGGATAAGTTACTCCAAATTGAAAAATAAATACTGTAGTAAGATTTGGGTGGTTGTCTATTTAGGGACCAGTTCTTTGAGCTAAAAAAAAAGTTTAAATGAGCTAGTTACTAGTGTTTCGTAGTTGTTGATTGCAGAACCAAGGTTCATTTTTCCAATATTGTTAGTTCCAATAAACTGTGTAACTAGCTCACCTATGATATAACTTGAACTAAACAAATACATGTATTTGGTTTCAGTTCCTAAGCTCATAATGTCTAACCTCTTTCATAACCCCACACAGGATTGGTATGGATGCATAATGCATAATAGATCAACTAAACTGACAAGGTGAATAAAAGTAGAAATAAAATAGTTATTGAATATCTCTAGTTCAAAAATTTTATCCTTAATAGAGTTTTCAGAGTAGATGAATGCTAGGCAAATTTTTTTTTTATTTAAATATGTTTAGTATGACATTTGAAAATAAAGATTGACTGACATATTTATTTGGGAAATAAATAGTATACTTTATTTTTTAAACAGATCATTACAAATTTGGATGGGAGGTAACAGAGAACGGAGCTCGACGCCAACTAGAGGAAAATGCAGTAGCTTGCCAGCAGCCCACAGACTGTCTAGAATGCAGACAAGCTTTTCTTTTCCCGACCAATTGGACATGAAAAAATGTCGTATGCTCAACTGTAAAAATATTGTAACTGACGAGCAGAAATAGTATTTATTAAAAAATATATATTTTGTATTTATGAACTTACTTGGTGGTTATTTCTTGACACAATATCGGGTTAGGCGAATTTTCCTTGTCAATTCGCCGACAACCTCAAGGGAGATTAAATTTTAGACCCAGGTTATTGTTAGATATCATATCGAGGGTGCACGATGGTAGGCAGTCTAGGGAAAGGTGAACTCTGTCCAAGTTTGGGTATCCATTGCATTTCATTCCAAAAATGCCGTAATATATCGTAACGCCCAGCTTACTATGAAAACTAATGTTGTAGAAGTTCCATTATATGATGCGACTCCACCTTGCCCTAGACATGTAGCCTATTCTATTTGTGATTGCTAGGTTACAGTGCGTATGAGGGTGATATCGTGTACATTAGAATGTATTATAACACATTTGTACATTGTACATAAGTGCCTTTTTTATGGATATATGGAAGCATCAGTGCTAAATTATAAATTGTCTAAAAGCTCATGATAGCATGATACAAAATTGAATGTATGAGAGCTTGTAACATTTTTTTTCTTTGTGGACTGTAGAGAATCCAACAATATATGGGAATACTCAGCCATGATGACTGGTCACATGGAATTGTAAGAGTCTTAACCTCTCCTTTTTTTTCTCTACAGAGCAGATGTCATTTTTCAGTCATTTGATACATAATGGATCCTCCTGTAACGTAATTCTAGTAGATTAACGTGTAATTATCATTAGATGCATGCACAGAAGTTTGCTTTTAGTTGGGTACAATGGTGCAGATATGCATTAACATAAATACTTTAACATGCATAGCCATGAGCATTATACCATGTTTCTTGTAACGATTTTCTTGAAGTGTATTTAAGAAATGGCAGTGAAATGGCTACACATTATGTATCTTTTGGAAGAAACTGATTAATTAAAATAATCAAATATATGTATACAGTACAGTATCTCTAAATAATATATATCAGTGTTGGATACATATCGTTGTTTGTAGTTTTAATAAGCATTTTTCTTATCTATGTGTTGAGTAGTTAGGTCATATTCTCACAAATGTTAAAGAAACGAAGATCTGTGACATTTGATTTTCTTGAAAGAAATTTATATATAAATAATGTTTAAATAATTAAAATTCCATCTTATGGCTTGTTTTCTCAACAATATTGTAAGTCACTTGAAAATACGTTTACCGTTAAAAGGTACACTTGTTTTAAAGATAATTTTCCTATCAGAACTTGAACAAAATAAATGGAAATATATTAGTGTCACCAATGACTGTTAACCAGTTTTGAGTGTATATTCAGAAATTGGCTTTTTAACTGTCAGTCAGTCAAGCATTTTCTATTGCCTTTTTTTTTTCTATTTTTTTTTCTTGAATGAAAGACTGTCGGTATCTCTGATCACTTTCCTAGAAGCTGAAAATAAAATGTTCAGTTGAAAATGTGTGTTCTTCGTACCCAAACCAAATGCTTTCGGGTCGCTTGAATGCACATATAAGACAGTGTATGATCCTCTTGTGTGTAGATCTGAATGAACTGACATATTATCTCTGAACATCCCAAGCAAAATGTTGAAACTATATTAATGATGCTAAAACATAATGATGTGGTGGCAGCAAAGTTTGACATTGGTGCACTCAAGGAATAGCCAGGAGAGAAGCAGAACAGTTTCAGGAATATTTCAATGGCAAAAAGATCAGTCCAAGGTGCTGCTCAGTCACACAAGAGGAAAGAAAGTTAAAGACCATAACCATTCTCCTCTTGGCTAAAGTAGAAGTCCTAATGAAAAATTACAAGATGTGATTAACTAAAGGAGATTAAGGTTTATAAAAATAGAAACCAGTGGAGATTGAGATGACAGATGGCCAGAAACAAATTGGATATCATAGCCACTAATGAAGTGAAAGATGTAAGGTTCAGACCAAACATGACTACTGCAAAGGGCAGGGTACTTTGTTATCCACTGACTTGGATCTTCAACAAAATGCTATACACTAGGGAACTCCTTGAAATCTGGAAAGCAAATGCGAGTCTCAATAAAGAGAAGGGTCAAATTGAAAGCATTAAACTATACCAGTGTCAATAACATGCATGCAGAAAAACGAACTTTGTAATGGATGGGCCAACATTGTTTAACAGCGGAAAGTCATGTTGACGAACTTGATGAAATTCTACAACAGAGCTACGTGATGGTAGACAGCTGGTCCATCAAGGAGTACTTTTTGCTTTTAATCTACGTAAATGATCTGACCAAGTGGGGGGGGGGGGGGGGAGTTCATACATGCCAATTTTTGGAGATTGTAAAAGTGTGCCATTTGGGCTCAACAATAAAACATCCAGGTTGTATGATTCTTGTGTACCAACTTTGCATATAGGTGAACCCACTCTTGCACTGCTCAAATTTTGAAGTTAAAATGCACAGGTCCAAATTCATGTTTGCCCAGCTGTGCAGGGTGAGAGCCACCTGTAATTAATTTAATAATTTAGGTATTTGTTACAAATTTTAAAATGGAATGAAAATGTGCAATACACTCATTGCAAGAGTGTATTGCATTTATCTTTGATTCCTTAATTTTGACGCTCCCCTTCCTAGTGGGTGGGCTCTGAGAAACGTACCCAAACCTTTTGACTGCTTTAAGTTTAAAATATTAAGGAGCACTTAAAGCATTTGTCAATAATTTTATTATTTTTAATGTTGGGATTTAGACCCACGATCAGGTACTGGAACCAGTAAGGTTATTCAGTACAATCTTTTGTCAGATCATCTATCAATCATTTTGCATGAAAGTCCCCTAAATCGGTGTTGGGTGCAAATGGGCAAACAGAAGAAACTATACATCATCCTTCCTAACCTGGGTCCTCTTGCTTGTCAGTTGAATATGCAAACTTACACTGCTATTTGTACAATACCTTACAGTAGTTCAGTTATTACCAAAGATTTTTAAATATATAATAATAATAATACATGTCTACCTGTGGCCAGCTTTCTGATGACTGACAGATCTGTTGGTGATAAGTGACCCACAGGCCCCCACAGTCCTCGCAATCCTGTATAATACCAGAAGGGAAGACGGGATGAATGAACTGCATCTCTGCTCTACAGATTTTACTCTTTATGAAATTATGAACTTTACTGCTGTTAAACTTTCCTCTATCCAGAGTTTGCATATTGAAACGGATGTCTTGTCGCTCCAGAACCATAGAGATCGTTACTGACCTTATTACCTCACAAGGTCTCCACAGCATCTTCATTCTTGCTTTTGCTGTAATTTGGCTCTTGCTCCTCCAATGGGCTGCAGTTCACTGTCACCACCTTCCTTTTTTCTGTTCGGATTTCTCTTACAAGTCTCCCTTTCAGATTGTGTTAGCAACGTGTTTCCTTGTCGACCATCCTTACCTCCCTGGCGGGTCCCACTTATGAAGTTTTGAAAGTATTTGACCCCATGGTATAAAGATAATGATAAATGACTAACTAGCAAATGAGCTAGTCATTGGGGTGATGGGAAACTGGTAAAATACATATAAACAAACATTTTTGCCACTACATGGTGCAATAATACTATCACTTGGCACTTGCCAAGTTTAATGATTCCATCCATTTGACTGATGCATGGCATGGACTACTGCACAGTATGTAGTCTGGCCCCATGGTGACTTTGGAGAACCTGTGCTGAGTTTGCAGCTTTTCCTGCTATAGGGAACTGGAATCACTCTGGACAACTCGACTCCAGCTATGACTTTCGGTGTACTCTAGGCTGCATGATGCCTCTATATTGGAAAATTTGTGAAAGCTACATCGCCAATGACTACAACAGTAAATTCTGCCTATTTCCCACAAATTACAATGTTTCTTAGATCTCCAGAATAAGGATGCTGGGCTCATGGTAAGACATGGATGCCTAGGGCAGAATTTGCACTAGTCATGCTGGTGCCTGAGCACAGTGGTCAAACTTGTAACCTAATATCTATATATATTCAATTTCTCATTGTATATAATTATATATATTTATTTCAAATATTCCATTCTAAATACAGTATATTAAAGCCATATATACATGATGCCAGCATTAAATTCCTTGTTGGGGACAGGAAGCCTGTGAATGTGTGTGTACTATAGACTTGTATCAGTCTCCCATGAGTCTATCTACTGACCATTCCCAGGATGCAATTCCACAGCTGTTGCCTAACTTCCATGTACTTATTTACTTCTAGGTGAACATTTGCATCAGATGAAAGGAAATAGTGCCCAACCATTTGTCCTGCCTGGAAATCAAACCCTGGATCCCTGATTGAGAGTTGAGAATGAAGCTGACTATACCTACCTTTATTCTGGTTGTCCAATATATGGGGTAATAGTTGGGATATTGTCATTAGTACTGTAGTTTTAATGTCCACCTATGGTTTATTATTATTATTATGAACTAGACCTTGACACCAGTACTGGAACTAGTTACGTTACTCGATGGCAAGTTTTCCCTGGAACACAGTCTGTAAGTAATTTAAATTCGTATAATAAAAGTAGATATACAGTAGTAGTATATTGACTATTTTGAATACTAATTAAAAGAAAAACCATTAATTTCTAATATTTACTTAAAAATTATGTACATTTACTTTTCACCAAGGTACAAGTTAGTGACACGTCAATCGACAGTAACAAAGCAAACCGTTTTAATTTCAAAACAATTGAAATGGTATATGGTACAGTATATCTGCCCCCCTCCCCCCCAAAAAAAAACATTTATGATTATATATAGTTACAATACCACATTTTTGTAAACATGTGTATTTACAGTACAACTTGAATACAGCTCGACAAATATATTTTTGGGAGAAATGTGTACAATACAATCAACATTGATATACATTGTACATGTACAGACATTAATAATTTTCCCAAATGTTAATGTTTGAAAGACCCTCAAATACTGTACTACAAATTCTAAAGGAGCCCTTGCCGTTTAAGATCATCAAAGGTTTTCCGATTAACAACGTTTCCTTGAGAATCTTCATATTCTTCCTCCTGTTCTGATTGCCATCTTTCTGATGTTTTCTGAACCTTGAGTTTTTCCCACAGTTTCAAAGCGTCTTCAATTTGTGTAACATTTGCAAAGTGAGCAGTGTTCGGAATGCCCAAACATCTCATGCCATGAGCATGTCGCCACTCTGCAAAGTGTCTTTGAAATGCTTTTGGACCTTTATATGTGAAGTTTCCACAGATTTCACAGTTGTAGCTAATGTTGAGACCATGGAGTTTGTACAGCCAATATGGAATGGGTTTACCATCCCAGCCCAGAGGAAGGTTCTTGGGATTATATGGCACTTCATCGTCGGCTTCATCCTCAGATTCCGATGCTGAAGCCTCCTCCTCTTCCTCCTCTTCCCCATCTCTTCTGGCTTGTTTGCGCTGAACATTTTCTTTGGTAGCCAAACGCTGCTCGCTTAAGGTTTCTGTAAAGCGGTAAACTTGTGCTTCTAACATTGCAAGATCTCTAATTTTTTCTGTTTCACGCCCCTTTGTTACCTTACCAGGCTTAGACTTTGCAAACAGGGATGGGTCCAGTTCTTCTACAGACATTCCCTTTGTGCTGAAGAGCCTTTGTGCTCTTTCCTCTAAAGTTCCTCCACATTTTAAACCAAGAGCCATTAGTGCTGACTTCAAACGATCCAGACCTAATGACATAAGTTCTTCCGACGATGAAAAAGCAGACAGATCAAGATGAGCTCCCATTGCTGCAAGGGCACCACCTGTTTCCTTTGGCCAGCCAGGAAATCTTGAAAAAAAGAAAAACATACTTTGTAATTGACAATTCTCAACATATCTAGTGTATGTACTAGCTGCAATACAATATGCATAATACAGAAGTAATCTCATTCAATCTAACACTGATACAATAATGTGATTCATCACTACTTGTAATATGAAAGCAAGTCAAGCAAGTTGTCAAATCAAGAACACCTTCCTTAAAGATTTACCCTAAAAAAAACAGGAAATGCTTGAATATAAAACTTATAAGGTGGAACTTTGAAGTCCACGTTGGAGTACAGTATAGGTGTACATTGGTGCCTAGCTTGCTGTCCAATAATCCCACCTTTGCTCTTCCCAGCTACCCACATGGGTGCTAAGGCTCCCAGTGCCTATAGTTACCAAGCCTGACCAAAAAAGAACAGGTCTATACAAAGAATGGTTCTAACTGTGAGAAAAGCTCACAGAAGGTACAAGCTGGAGTGGTGGTGAACAGAAGAGGTGGATATCTCTAGATCAGGGGTTTTCAAACTGAGGTATAAGTACCCCCCTGGTGCTCTCAATAGTGTTTTATATGTTCCAAGGGCTACTCTACTGACTACAACAAACACTAGAGAGCACCAAGTTCTTTATACACCAGTCTGAGAATCTCTGCTCTAAATCCCTAGGACATGCATTTCAGTATTCACCTAAACCATACTAGCATAGCTGTTAATCAACAGCTATACTTCACTCTATTGGATAAGCTTTTCAAAAAATTAATAGCAAATTACACTCACTGTCGACACTAATGTTGTCTATGTCATTACGTAGGGCAAATGAGCATACATGGAAAGCTGCTGCTGAAATCAACCACACTCAAGCACATGCCTACTGCTGTTCCTGCCAGTTGTATACTGCAGTCCAATATATGGACCCCTTGCCCAATCTATGATTGTCTTCCACTGTCATTGCAGATACATGCCACAAAGGCTCTCATGTTGAGTTTACTTATTATTGTGTAGGTACTGGTCTATTTCTGAGCCGAGGCTCTTGTTGTAATTAAATCTTGAAGGTAGGAAACCATGTGCTACCCAATATCAACTAACTGTAGTTACGTAATAATCAGCTTGTGTCCAAAGACTGATAGTTGTAGATCCTGTGTACAAGTAACTACAGAAACCTTCATGGTTTCTTCAATAGTGAAGTGACAGTGCAAGATATTTCACACGTTACCGAGGTATAGTGTATGATGTGTATTGTATATATAATTCCTTCCGAGAGACAGTTCTCCCAGAATTTACCTGTTACTATACATGATATATCTTGTATATAATAAATTCTTGATTACAAATTTATCTGAGGACCATTATACACTTAAAAATAAGTCAAAAGCATTCAAAATGTTAATATAAACATTTAGCTTTACCAACCTTCCACCCTCCCACTGTTCATTGAAATCCTTGTTGACATTGTCCAGTTCCTCGCCAAGATCCAATAAAGGCTTTACCCTCTCTACATAAGAATACAAGTAGTCAAGAAGAACATGGAGATATTCTCGATACTGTGTGGTCTTCTTTTCTTTTGGAATCTCAAACAACCTGTCAAATGTTGTCAGGTATGCGATGTACTCGATCTTTTCAAGCCCTGAAAACGCAATACATATTAAATATAAAATTGTAAGGTTTATGTAATTTCTCTACATATTGGAATGCAGGTTGCTAGTGGTCGTTAACAGACTTCACACCTCTGTATGCCAAACCCTCCGGCAAGATGGGAAGCACTACTAGCCCTTCCTATAGTACGTGTATAAGGCAATCGTAAAAGTTTGGATGTACCAGTACCCAAATTCATTTGGTTAATACAGTACTACAGTAATGATGAAAGAAGGAATTTGGGTAATACAGGCAATTTGTTGTATGTGGAGGGGGTCAACATTTGTTAAAAGATGAAGATTAGCAAAGTACTGTATAAAAAAAGAATGTTAATGACACTCAAAATGACACCCGTGCATTCATCATGTTATTTACATTAAACATCACCACAGAAAACCAATACATACCACCACACTTCATTCAATTATCTGTAGGACGAGCTGTAAAAGACCACTAGGTGAGGAGAGGCCATTTTGTAAAAATGACTCTCTCCTCACTACATTTTAATACAACCCATCCTCCTAAAATTATTATACTTATCGTATCTGTTTGGTTAAACTTACCAACATATACTGTTGGACCCCAAAATATTCACATTTAATATATTTAATTAGCCTAAATGGTATTCCAGAAAACTGGAAATGTAACCCTAAAGAACCTAACCTGTTCAAGCAATCCTAGACGTCATACACATTATCTTAGGTCTAATAAGTACTGTATGTTTAAGTTTCGTTCTACCATTCTTTCCTCGGACTAGAAATTAATATTATTTTTGGGGTCAAAAAGTACATACTGTATTGGTACCTTCGACCAAATGTTTGCTGACAGTACTACAATTTTAGGAGGACGAGTTGGATTAATTTCATTTAGATGACATACTGAAAAGTGTACCAATAGGCCACTTGATATGGTAGACCTGCATGAATATTATACACCTCTCCAAGTACAGTAATGGGTATGAAAGTTAGGTGGGTCAGTAGATTCTGCTGCTTTTGGTACAGTAAAACTGTGGACATCTGAAGCTTCTCTCTTAATACTAATGAACTGCCTTGTTAATACAACTTGCAGTAAGTATGATAGTTAACAAAGTTAAAAATAATGAGGTACAAATATATGGTAAAGATGTTCTTAACTCTTACAATAAGAAAAGAGTGTATATTAAGAGTTTTAGGTATATATAGCAACAAGTGAAAATGAATACAGATTTTCCCCTCAAATAATCTGCACCTTTGATATTGAGGTATTTGTTGTAGCACTCATGAAGGTCAAGATATTTGCCGTAGCCTTCTTCATCAGTGAAGTCCACCATTACCAAATTTTCATCATTGGCTTCCCTTTGCTTATTGATTTCCTCAAATTCCACACTCATGGGCACACTTATCTGATGACAAAAACAACTTGTTAGTCCTTAACAAGTATATTTACCTATTATTTTGGTAGGTAGATAATTATCAAGAGAAAGCATTAAGCCATTACAACTATTTACTAAGCACCATTTAATAAAATGTAGTTTTGGGATATGTGTGAACACATACTGTAAGTCATGCATTCTGTTTACTTTCAATATTTAATAAACATGCAAACACTCCTTGTAAACTATACAAATTTAGCATACAAGTGATCAGGTAGAGTTAATGCTATTCCATGTGCTTGACGACAAAAATACCTTTGTTGGTGGAACTGAATGTCAATCGTAAGGATAACTGGTTTACAATAAAATTTATTTGAATAATACTTTAAGAATTATGGACAGTCTCAGGCTGTAATGAAAGCATGACTACACTATTATTATGTATTCAATTGTTCAATAGGATACCTGCTATTAGATATACCAATTTCTTGTCCACAAATGCGAGTACGGTACTTACAGCAACTATTGGTCACACGGACAAAGATGGACTGTTGCTCCTACAAAAATTTGTTTTATACCACTCATTTTGTAGAGGGTTAGGTTGCTTGGTTACTGTTCCACTTTTTTTTTTAGCATGCCAGTTTGGGGTATTCAAATAGTACACAACACCAATATTTTAAGATATAACAGTCCATTTTTGTATATTCAACAGTAGCTTCTATAAGTACAGTACAGTACTATAATTTTTAGAGGATAGGTTGAGAATAAAGCAATGTTAGCAAAACAGTATAATTGTTATATCTGTACTGTACTTGCATTAAAAAAGTGTCAACAAATTTACCACCCACCTCATTGGGATGCTTTTTGTGAAATTCTTTAATTTGTTTCAGACGGTTGTAAAATTCGGCCAGTTCATTAGGTCCAGATAATGCTGCAACTTCCTCCTTGCGCAGACCATCCTTATCTTCATAAAGATCTGCTAGGTGTTGTGAAGCCTCCACATATCGGTCAAGCAAGATGCGGTGGCGGTGGTCAGAGTTTATTACTTCACGATTCTGAAATCAATTAAAAACTTGACTTTCAACAAGCATTTTATATTTGTAGTAAAGAATGCTCAAGACTAACTTGACATTTCAAGCAGCTTTGTCATAAAAATATTGAAGTATAGGTTTTCTAGAATCATAAAATTTGATTTTAGGACCAATTTCACAAAACAGCTGAACATGCTGAACATGCTGAATGAAACATCAAATTCATTGGTAAATCTGACTTTTTTTAATGCCAAGATTTAAAACCAATATAAGCTTCTTAAGCATCTTAATACTTCATGTATTATGAATGTATGAAAAATGCCAAATTTTATACAAAACCCAACTTCATTCTGACCAGAACTTCCTCATTTCTAGGTAAAAACAATTTTCATCCAAACTGGCTTAACCATTCAGAATCTTCAGGAATCCATGATGGACAACACAGTAGTAAAAAAAAAATTGTTGTTCATGTTTTCTATTGCTCAAAGCATACAGAATTTTCACTAAAATCTTACAATTAATTTTCAATATAGCATTACAACTCTTCTTTACTGTCTGTTTACTTTACTCTTCTTTACTTAATTTGAATTCAAGATACATCTAATATAGCATCTTATTACGAATTACATCATTAAATTTGCAAATGACACCAAGATTTATGGTAAGGTCAAAAAGTGAAAGCGTACCGAGGCCTTTCAAAGTAATCTACATAACTCCACAAATATTCAGAAGACTTACAAATGCTTTTTAATATAGAAAAATTCAGGACTCTGCATTTTGCATAACAATGCACTCCATAACTCCTAAATCAATAACACTATCTTGCAGCAGACTCATTAGGAAAAAGGACCTTAGAGTCCAAATCCACCACTCATTGAATGTTGCACAAGTGGGAGTTGCAGTAAAAAATGCCAATCAAACCATAAAAATGGTCAAATGAACCTTTGACTTCAAGACAAAGAAGGTAGTTATTCAACTGTACAAAGTCTCTGGTATGCCCCCATTTAGACTACTGTATCCAAGCATGGAGACCTCATCTTTAGGACATATCTGCTTAGGAGAAAGTTCAACCCTGGACAATAAAAATCATCCCAGACCCAAGTCAACTCTCACACCAGAAATGGTTGAGGGCCACAGGGTTAACAACACTACAAATCAGACTTGACAGGGTTGATCTCATCAAAACTTGTGAAATCCTGAACAATTTGGAGGATATTGGTCCAGACAACTTCATTAAAAGGTAAAATGTAACACACACACACAAATCAACGGTTTCAGGCTCAACAACCCACACTGCAGGACAGAAAACACGAGATGTTTGTTCACCCACAGGATTAAAAACCCATAAACCTCCAAAACATTACTGCAGTTCAAAATCTAGCTGGATAAAATCATCAGAAAAAAGGGGGAAGGGAAGACCACCGACATGCCGCCGGCATCCTATCCTCGTCGAGGCCACTGGAGAGATAGTGACCTTCAGGTAAAATCAGGTAAATTCAATATCGTCCACAGTATGACATCTACATCAGCAAAGCCTGAGCCTACCTTCAGTACTCCAATAACACACAACTTACAGAGCCCTTCTTGTGTAGACATTCCTTCACCATAGCAGCCATAAGCCGCTCCCTTTCTTCATGGTACCGCCTTTGTTGCTCGAGTATGGTGTCCATGGCTGTGTGTTAGTGGCAGAGGTCGCCTCGAGACACACCACAACAGCCAACATGTAAACAAAACGTTCGGAGTTACCGATGGTTCCTTCTTGTAAGCGATTATTTATTTTTATGTCACCGTCAATTCAATTTGATAATTAATACTATTTTAAGTTATTACCAAATTTTAGGAAAATATTTCCTTTTGAGAATTGTGTGGCTAATAATGACGTTTGTGTTTATGTCAGCGACTACACGAACTTTTAACTTAGGCAATATTTACGTTCTTCACGTATCCTCATGCTCGAAAAAATAAACAGTTTATAGTTGAATAACTAACACAAATATTTCCAAGTCACAAATAACGTCTTATTAACCCCTAAGAATAGAATAAACAAGGCTAAAATAGAGGGGGAGGGGGGCAGGGAATGATGGATCCCCTAAGCTCATTTCGTACACGTGACATATAAATAATAATAATAATAATAATAATGTTTATTCAGGTAAAAGTACATACATACAAAATGAGTAACAAACAGAATGTTGAATTTCTAGATAGAGCTAGTGCATACTATGCCTAAATCCACAAGTACGCACAACGTTTCAGAGACCTACGCTCACCGATGAAAAAAAAATATATATAACCAAACCAAATACAATTTAACCCACGATAATTAACCTATGACCCATACTATATAATGTATATATATATATACATATGCCCGAAACGCTTTGCGTACTAGTGGCTTTAGGCACTGTATGTACTACCTCTATCTTTAAATCTAACAATATTTGTACTGTCACTCTGCAACTATGTATGTACTTTTCCTAAATAAATTATTATTATTATATATATATACGCAAGTTATAAACTACGAAATTTATAGTGTATTTAACAATATAAAAGAAACGAAATTCTGCCCGAAACGCTGCGCGTACTAGTGGCTTTACAAGATTGTAATTACCATATTATGTATCCTCACAATCCCAATGTGCCTTCTTGTATATATATAAATAAATACATAAATAAATAAAAAGAACTGAGAGTGTACGAAGGGTTGAGTATGTGTGTGTGTGCGTGTGTGTGTGTGTGTGTGTGTGTGCGAAAGTGCAGGAGGGGGGCTGTGAGAGTAAGAATGGTCTGCAGTGAGAGTTGTGATGTGCTGGTTGTGGCGGCCTGTGTGACCAGCCTCCCTCACGCTTCTCGCCACGGGTAATGACTTAAAAAGACCTCGGGGAGGGATATTATATCGGTGCATGTGAACGCCGAGTAGATCCAGTGGGAGCGAACGGGGTAAGTAAGAGCTAGTTGATGTCTTATAGAGAGGGGGGGGGGGAATGGGGGGAGGAGGGTAAATAAGATGCAAAGTATGTCTTGCCAAGCAGATTGAATGAGTCTTGAAATGTCTTAGCAAGTAAGGGGTGAGGAGGGGTTTTCCTAGGTGTGATGAGGGGTTTTAAGGGTTCCTCTTGATGGATAATATGGTTCGCAAGAAAGAAATTGACGTATGACAACTAATTCCCCTATTATAGGCCTGCTAAGATTTATTAGGATCTAGTTACTCGCGGGATACAGTACTGTATTTTGTAGTTTGGAATTGTTCACAATCATTGTATCAGGGCTTAGAGTGATTTACAGGGAAGGAATTAGATGCTTATGTTCCATATTGTGCTCTATTTAGTAAAATGTTTTTTGATTGGCTTTCGAGTGAAGTTAATTTCATGTATCGCCTATTGTGTAAAATTATTGTGAATTGATTTATATTTACAGCAATTCAGGGAGATGTATGGGAATTTTACATGTGTATAATAGGTGATTGGCTGTATAGTAAACAAACATTACACTGACAAGACTTAAACATCATGTAATGTTTAAGTCTTGTCAGTGGTTATTTTCATAAATTCAAACTTTTTACTCATAAAGGCTGTCTGTTTTCTAGGAAATAGAACTTGTGTGTTATGTTATGCAGCTTAACAGAAAAGCTTAGTGACTTTACACAACATATTATTAATTCATGCAAAATGGCTCATAGGGCACAGCAGTTCATTCATCCCTCGGTTCGTGAGGTACGGTCAGATCGTACACAGGCATTTCAACAAAGTTCATTTTCTAATTGTACAAACCATATACATATCGTTAGGCTGTGTTAGTCTAGGTTGGGTTGGGTTGGGTTAGGGTTGGGTGGATAAGAATAGTTATGTTGGATAGGATTAGTTGGCAAACTGCCTTGAGTGCACTGTAACTTGTATTCCTGTTTACCTAGCAGTAAATCTGGTAGTTATGCAGCCTGTGAAAGATCAGTACTTATCTATCAGTGACTATTGGAAAATGTCTAGCTCTTTATGCCTTGCATACTGACCTGGATTGTACCTGGAGGAAGTTCTGGGAGTTATTCTACTCCTTAAGCCCGGCCTAGGGAGGGGGGCCAGGCTTGGCTTGAGAGGTTGGTCTAACAGGCTGTTGCTTAGAGTGGCTCGCAGGCCCTATTACTGTAGCTATTACACTGTAATTTAACTATTTTAATGATAAAATTCTTTGTTGAATTACCTGGATCCTAGGAGAACCTCAATAAGCCAAAAAGGCTTCCTGTCTTCGGCAATTAGAAACCATATTGGGTCTAGGTGTGTAAGGAGCAAACATAGACTGCTGTTGACACTATAAGGAAGCAAGGATTTTTTTATTGCAATCCTCTTAACTTTAGGTCAACCTGGCCTTAGAATGTGGTAGTGGTTTTGTACCTGTTATTAGAAACTGTTGGGGTAACTTGCCACAGTAAAAATTGCATATGGAGTACCCTAGATCTGTACGGATTTAGGATACAAATTTCCTACTCAGTACTAGTTAGGTTTGTAACATTACTAAAGAACAATACAGAAATAGTTTCTTATTTGTAATAAATTTGGGAAACATGTAAACTGGGTATTGAAGAATAACGTGTTTTTCAGCAATAGTATAAAGCATATGGATTTTAACATGTTTGATATAAGATATTGCCTACACAAGCAAATAGAATAAATACCAATAGAGAATACTGGTACTCAATGTTTTAAAAAGGAACTTGCTACACAAGGCTATACTCTCTTGGTTCACTATATAAAACTCAAAGTTTAGGTGGGTGATAGAAATGTTATTTTTAACTTCTTGATCTTACAACTGTAATGGCATGTCTCCCTACTTTAGTTGTGTAGTACTGTATAGTAGTTAGCTCGGTTGACTCTCAATTGTTTGTACCTGGGTTTGATTCCTGGGCAGGGGGACATTTAGGCACATTTCTTTAGACATGATTCCTTTGTTCATCTTGCAGTAAGTCTGAACTTGGGAGGTAGTTAACTGTTTTGGGATGTATCCTGTGGAAAGTCAGTCATTGGCAATAGAGAATGCAATAAGTCTTATAGGTTTCCTGTTCCTTGATGGTGTAACCCCATTTAATTCATTCTATGAAATGTCCAGAAAATATCCGAAGAATACAACCCTTCCTCCTAAAATGATAATACATATCTGCAGTATTTGGTTGAATGTACCAGTACTGTATGTATTGCTAAACCACTAAAATATTCATGTTTTGTATAATTTTATAGTTCTTAAAAAATGGCTAAAAACCAACCTTAATATTCCTATGGCAAAATTAACACATACAGTGCTGTATATGTATTATATTAGGCCTATGATTGCTTGAATATTCAGGTTAGATTCTTTAGTTATATTTCAGATTTTCCACAAAAAGGCACTTGGGCTAATTTAGTAATACAAAGCATGCCATTTTGGGGAGGCCCAACAGTACATATTGGTATGTTTGACCATATACTTATAAATACTATTAATTTAGGAGGATAGGCTGAAAGAATAACATATATTGTTTATCCAGAAATCTATTTTGCTTTAAAACATTTCCCAAGGTAAACTTACCTTTACACCAAAATATTTTAGTTTTCATATCCTTTAATAATTGAAAATAACATCATTAAAAGCATGAGTGCATGTTGTTAATGGTTAGCAATTTCATTATTTCGTACTGTAAAATATAATACAGTATGCTAATTTTCATAATTAGTTTCCTGTTGTTGGAAATATACGAAGCCTGGTACAGTATTTGTATTGAGGTCCCTTATAATATCTCGGTCAGTGATTGACCTCCCTCCCAGGATGAAACCCACAACAGTCACGTAACTCCCAGGTAAGCTACCTATATACTGCTACGTTAATAGAAGCACAAGCTGTAAGGAAACATGCCCAAGCATCTAGCCCTGTGCATACAGTGCATTACTGTACTGTGCAGCTTCAGCAAAATAAGAATGCCTGTACTACACACTTTGGTAAAACACTGCAGTAGGCTATTTACATAATTTAAAGCATAATTCTGCTATTGTGTAATGATAGTAGGTATTGTGTAATTTTGTGACAATCTGTTACACTGTGGTACAATTTTTGCCATATCCTTTCTTTCCCAGTTTATTTGACTACACCAAACATTCTCATACCATAATCAAATCCTTTGTTATTTTATAAATACTGTATTCAGAAGTCTTATATAAAAAGTTTAAAACAGAATATTGAACATGGTAAAAAAAAAATATTTGCCTACCTGTAATAAAGAACCTTTTTTGAAATACCAGGCCTTAACAAGAATTTGTGGTATGCTGCTGCTTCAGCTCCTATCCGTACAGACGAGATCAAAATAGAAAAATGGAACGATGGAAATATAATCTTGAATAGGTAACTACAGTATGTATGTACAGTAGTAATATCATTGACACGTTAGGCTAAGGATACTGTGTTAGGGATATAAGTGTATCCTAGGAAAATATTGTATAAATTAATGAGCATTTAGGAGAAAAGATATACTGTAGACAGGTATCTCAAATATTGTGCAAGGTGAGAGTAGGTTTATCAGGAAGAGAGGATGTGGTTGAGTGATTTTTTTATTAGAGAACATTTAATAAAAAGTTTAAAATGGCTGTATAAAAACAACAAAACATTGTGGCATTTTTTAAAGACTAAACACAAAATGGGCAAAATACAGAAAATGGTTTTCATTGTGACAGCCTACTTTAATTACTTTTAGCTCAATCTAATAACTCTTGAATATTTATAATTTTCATTTC